CTCCCCTTGTATTCATGAACTGATTTTGGTTTTACTTCTGTGATAACTCCATGTACTTGGTGTCATCATGTAACATCACCTGGACATTGTACAACACTAATGTTTCATACTTTGTAACTGAAGACAAACTTTTTCTTTAATTCTGTATAGAGGAATTTGCAGGGGTGGGCAAGCTTGGTACTCCAGCTGCTGTGGAACTACAAGTCCCATGAGGCATTGCAAGCCTCTAACATGCAAGCAGAGGCATGGTGGGATTTGCAGTGTTACCACAGCTAGGGTGCCAAGGCTTGCCTACCACCTAAATTAGAACATGAACGTCAGGTTTTTTTTTTTGCTGTGTCCCCGTCGGGGAGATTCGCCCTCTGTATTTTTTTTATGTCCTGGTGACCATTATTTACTGAAACTGAAATTCCAAATTTAGGGTTGTCGCCTGGATAGGAACAGATGGGAAATATTCCAGGGGGGCAGAGGCATATCCACAAAGGATTGTGCCCCTGGTTTCCCGCCCAGCTCCTGGCAACCAGTTGGGTGGGATGCCGGCCAGAGCGTCCCAATGATGGCCCTGGTTGCTAGGAGCTGGGTGGGACGCTGGCCAAGGCATCCCTGGTTGCTAAGAACTGAGCAGAGAGATGTGTATATGAGGGAGGTGGGAAGAGAAAAAAAGTGAGCTGTCTCTGCGGGTTGGTGAACGTTCACTGACCCAGGGAGCAACCCCCCTTCAAGTGGCACGCAGGCCATGTACCAGTGGCGGAACTACCGGGGTCGCAGAGGTTGTGGCTGCGACCTGGCCCTGGAGTTCCGCCATTTGGAGGGGGCCCAGGACAGGAGGAAGGGGCCCCTGGTAACGGCTGATTACCAGGATATTTATTATCCCGGTAACCGCTAATGTCAGTCCCGGGACATCTCCCTCCTTCCTGTCCTGAGCCCTACATGCTTCACGCTGCTCCCCTCACCTTGTTCCGGGCGCAGCGTGAAGTATGATCCAGCCGGCGCAGCAGCCAATGAGTGGGAAGCGGTGCTATCCCTTCCTCTACATCACACAGAACGCTGCCGAATAGAGCCGCTGCGGACACGTAGGGGGAGATATGGGAAGCTGGGACTATGAAGGTGACATGGGGTCCGGGAGCGGAAAGCTGGGGACGGGAAGGGGGAGATGAGGGGAAGCTGGGGACATGAAAGAGGAGAGTGTGTGTTTTTTTTCTGTCTAAAATTTGTTTAAAAATAAAAATATTTTTTTTCTTCTGGGGGGAGGGGGGGGGGGGGTCTTCATGGATTCTTGCATCGGGGCCCTGAGGTCACTAGTTACGCCTCTGCCATGCACCATACCCTGGATATGCCACTGCAATAGGAACTAACTACACTGTAATGTTTTTGTTGTTATGACTCCATTTCTACATGGAATAATATTTTATTTCAGCCATGACACCCCCGGTGTGGCCGGGGTAGACATTCAGAGAAATACCTCATCCCGCGGCCTGGAAGGATTGAAGCTCTACAACCAGTCAGGACACACGGCTCCGCCCCCACCCAATGCAGGTCACATGATCGTGACGTCAGCGGCTGCGGAGTGACTGTGGTGTAGCGGCTGTGTGTTGATAAGGAGGCGGAGAGCGACAGAGGGAGCAGAACGGCGAAGGAGACAAGAGAAGCCGCAGCAAGATGGCAGGAGGGACGGAGCCAGGGGGTAGCGAAATATGGGGGTACAGCCGGCCAATCGGGGGGTCAGCTGAACACGTTAAGTGTGAATGTGTCGGCAGTGGGTGAGCAGAGCTCGGAGCTCCGTGTAATGTCAGCGAAGGGCGTGCATAGCACTGCGCGGTGTCCGGGGAGAAAAGAGGGGCGTCCCGGGCTGTGCCGGTAACGTGGGGGTCCCCCGTGTGCTAAAGAATAGTGCGGACATGGCGAGGGGACGTTCCCGGCCTGTGTGGGGGGCCCCTGTGGCCCTGGACATCGAATGACAGATCCTCCCTGTAATGGCGGATGGTAGCTTGGTGAGTATGGCGGATTCTTCTTTGTCCTTGGGCGGGGAGAGGAAACAAGCAAATGTCCTTGAAAAAAAACAAATGATCAGACAATGAGCCCGGACACCCCAATCCCGGGGCTGTGCTCGGGACCTGATCCCCCCTGCACCCCGCAACATTCACTTTGTATCACATTTTCAGCATTTTCCCCAGTTTTCTGTCTTTCTGGATGTTTCTAGGCTGCTCCCTATGTGTCCTCCCCCCTCCTCCCTACCCAGCCCGGATCTGTGTCCGCAAACGTCCCATTTCATGACAGCAGAGCCGTCTATAGATTCCAGGGGGGAGCTCTCCTATACCTTTCTATTGTTTATAAAGATTTCCTGATCCATCAGAACAAAGCATGATCAGGATTCCTCCATCTCATCCTTCATATATGGGGTGTTGGCTTGTTAACCATCTCCCTGCCATGGCTTTATTATATATATACCATAGGTATGCTGTGTGTATATTTATTGGTGAGTGTGTTTTTGTTACACATTTTAAAAGCACACCCCTGCTCCCCCCCCCCCCCCCACAATACCTCCATGTAGGGTCAGTGCATATAGTTCATTTTCAGAACAAATATGCAGTCTGCTTTTTTTTTAATGTTTTTTACTTGTGTATCCGAATGTATGCTCGGCACGGGTAAAGCAACCACGCCATTTCTCCAAAATGAATGTCCGATCACAAGCTTTCATGTACTTCCATGACATTTTCATATGTATCGGATTATTTCATCACTGGGACTACTATGTTTATAAGGAATGATGGACATCAAAGTGGGATAAGTTTGGTTTTGGGGAACAATATGAAATAATTGGGATACAATATCATATTAACATTGCAGACCATCGTGTGTTTTTTTTTATTATAGAGTACTGCAATGAAGACCTTTTTTTTATGTTGTAGTATATTTGGATTTCTATTTTAAAGACCATATGGAATATTCCATTTGAAAGACGATGGAGTATTCACTATCAAAGATCATACAGGGTATTCCATCTTAAAACTGATGGAGAATATTGTGTCTCAAAGGTGATTCATTTTAAGATTACACAGAATGTTCTCTTATAGATCATACAGAATATTCTCATTTAAAGATGGTTTAGGATATACGATCTTAAAGACGATACAGAATATTCCATTTTAAAGAAGTTATGGAATGTTTCATTTTAAGAAATGATACAGAATATTCTTATAGACGATAAAGAATATTACATTTTAAAGAAGATACAGAATATTCTTTCTTAAAGACGGTTCAGATATCCGATCTTAAAGAAGATAAAGAATATTCTCTTCTAGACGTTACAGAATAATACATTTTAAAAACAATACAGGATATTCCATCTTACAAATGTAACAGCATATTCTCTTCTAGACGATAGTGTTCTTTCTTAAAGACAATTTTAGAATATGCCATGTTAAAGACTATACAGTATATTCTCTTTTTAGAAGATACCTTTTAGCTGATGGAATGTTTGAATGATGGCGTTACTTGTGATTTGGCACTTTTGCTACTGATTGTCCTTCTAAAACATTTATTCATCTGTTTTCAGACGGGCGAGTGCTTTCAAGGCTCCAGTTCCTGATTTATTTAAGTAAGTTTGATATTATTTTGGGGTAATTTTTTTTTTTTTTTTAATCTTTGTTTATATATTTTGTATTTTTACTCTTCTACATGAATAGTAAATAAATGCTGCTGTATATTCCCAAATCACATTTTGTTTTTAATTTACAGGTAAAGCAGCAAGTTGATCCATGCTAAGTGTGACCAGAACACAGTGTACATGTATAATCAGGTAAGTTTATACATTACAAAGTACATGTTTTACGATCATTTAGGCACACATATAAAAAGTGTAAGAAAACCTAACTCGTGTTATTTTATTTTCAGGTTTTGCTCTTTTTGTTTTTGAAGCTGGAAGAGGTTTTGTGAGCAGTTTTGAAGTGAGTATCCTGCCTCCTGATTAGTATTTTATAAATAAAATGTTTAGTAGAGTAGAAACAGATCAGATAATTCTAAGAAATGGGGAAAATATATATA